CAGTTAGTATTGAGTCTCTCATCTATGTATTTATATAAATATTCTATTTTGAGACTCAAGTTGCCCTTTTGGGCCAGATTTCATCAGTTAAGTTGTTTTATGTCTTTGCATGGCATTGAGTTAGGTTTCCGCTGAGTTAAGAAAGCCAGGCCAAGGATTCACTTGGGGCCAGCGATGGTCTCCGAGTTCCGGTCCCGCCCAGGGTGTAGGCTCGGGGCGTGACATTCATATAACTTTTAATGCAGACAAAGTTAAAAGGTGAAGAGGTGTCTATTTTTGAGGTGTCTTCACTTTTTAACTTTGTCTGTAATAAAAGTTATATGAAGTTCAATCGCAATTAGTTAAAAGTAAGGAAATTTAATTTAAAAAATCCCATTTTTCGTTTGAGAGCTGCAAAACTCATAGAACCTCCGGTGAGTAAAGAGACACCCTTTACGGAGGCCCGAGTTGCCTTTGCTCGCTCACACTTCTTCTTAAATTCAGGAGTGTTCCATATCTCCAAAAATATAACCCATGTCTTCTCGTAGCCAACTGGGCTTCTCATTATTTTTTCGAGCTTCCAACAACATTTCAGTAACTCGTATACGAGCATTCTTCTCAAAAATGGAATTTAGTTTATTCTCATAACATGGCTGCCATACTCACTTCGTCTGCACAATAAAAAAATATCGTTAGATTAAAACTTCTATATTTGATAATAGATTTAAGAATAAATTTTATTTGTACCTTAAATTGATTCCATATTCTCTGATATTGTAGGAAAATTCTTTCCATCTACCCCAAGAATCATCGAAGAATGGTGTAATAGATTCTAAAACCATACGCGAGCCAAGATATGATGGCGCAAACCTACATTAAACTTAATTCATGTAAGGAGTACATTCACCAAATTAAAAATAACATAAAGATAACATACGGATAATTTACCCATCCACATCAGGGGTGATAATCAGCCTATGAAAAGCATCATATTCTCTAATATCTCCAGCATTTTGAGTCTTTGAACAAGCAGGTGTAGTAGTACTACTGATCATAGATGGTAATGTTGGTACATGGACTCCAATATTTGACCTAGATATACTAGGTGTCGATGATGCTGGAGATACAGCTTGAGTCGATGATGGAAGCAGAGATGAGGAGCTGCATTTTTTACTTATATGACAACTCGAAGAAGAATTTATATGAGGTGTGGGAACAATATTATTAGAAAGACTTGTACTCCTGCCATGAGAAGTTGTGGAGTTATTTTGGATAGACCCACATGGTGGTATACTAAAAAAAGAAGGTGGTAATGAAGTCGACAGGGGAGGAAAGCTAGAGGGTAATGATGTCAACATAGGAGTAATAGCGGGTGGCAGTGAGTGTTGTTGAGTAGGAGCGACAGATGGCAGTGAAGTTGGTTGAGGAGGAAAGGTGGGTGGCAATGAATTCGACTTAAGAGGACCTACATCTGACTGACTGGAGTGACTTGTAGGTGGAAATGAAGCTGGTTGAGAATCGTGTTAATTCCTCTTATTTGTATGCTTTCGACGCTTTGCAGATGTCTTCTTCATTACCTAAAAAGATACTCAAAATATGCACAAGGATACATTGGGTAACAGAAGCCAAAACAATTTCTGTTTACTCAGGTATAATTATACATTTCAATCAGCCTATCAAGCCACAAGAATCGACTTTACATGATAAGCAGTCTACCAAATTAAATTTAACATAAACTTGCTTCAGTCAATTTCTAATGGAATCACAGTAAATACATCAAACAAAAATTTGCCAATTCATCAATTATACAGGTTATTAATATAATAACCTTATACTACAGAAACATAAACACGAGGCTGCTATACCAATCCATTCTCATAAGAAAAAATAGAAAGACAACAACCAAATTCCACTACAGCAAGATCAAACAAAAAGTAGATGAGTCCACACACACATAAAACACAATTTAGAAGATCCAGCTATTGTCTACTGTTAA